ACGCTTCTCTATGCACCCAATTCATAATATCACAAAGAGATCGAGTACACTTAATTACATACTCAAATTACATAAATACAATAACAACATAAATATAATAATTATTTAAAATATACAAATAGATCATCAATATCTATTCAACCACAAAACAAAATATTAAACATTACAATATGACCTTTATAATTTTAAACACTTGTTCCAACAAATACACCCTTCTTTGAAATTTTTTCATCCTTATTCATTGCGGTCCGGAGTATTTAATTGGATGGTCCCAGTGTTCTCCAAACTTCAAACCTAAGTGCAAGAAAAGCTGTCATATTGGACTCTGCCTTATGATGTGAGCTTTCAAAGGTGGAAATGAGATTGAAAAGTTTTTTGGACTTTAAACAAAGCTAGAAAGAATCCACTTAGTGAATTAAGAGTCATCCGAATGCACTAAAAGTAACAAAATATAGTTCATTTTTAACAAAACACTGACATATATGTGTTTCACACATAACATGAGATATAAACATGACCTTTTAAAATCTTGAGAAGGTAAGGTGTGGAAAAGGTTCTAATAGGTCACCTCGGGTTCAAGGGCTTTGATAGGAAAAAGGCGTCTGCAGCTATAGACCTCACAAAATGCCTGTAAACACATGAGCAACAACAGCATAATAGCAGCAAGAAATGTGAGAATCTGCCACGAACCAAATATATATTTCTTCATGAATTTTCCACATTTAACCTTCCACCTTCCATTGTAATACTTGTTCACATCCACAATCACTTTGTCTATGAAAGACACCTTTGTCAATCTAATAGACTTACTCATTCCATTCCAGAGCTCCGCCACCTCATTATCGCTTTTCAAACTGCTTAGAATAATCCCTCTTTCGCGAAGAAAAGTCACATCTTTTTCCGTGTCAATGATCCTATTCATTAATTCTGTGTAACGAGTCAGAACCATCAGCCCTGATACTCGGCACGCTTCATAGGCAACCATGTTTCTTAGAACAATCTCTGAATTCACATCTACACTAATGATAGGGAGATATAATGTGGCAGTTTTTACGTTGAAATTAATGCTTTGAATGCCTTCATTAGTTGGCATAAAGGACACGCCGACTTCAAAGAGATCAATTACAGAAGGGATTTTAATTTCTTCTATCAATGGAGGTTTTTCTACATTACCGTTTGAGTCCGAATCTCCATCTTCTTTCTTCTCCCTTCCTTCACTGAATCCTTGTTCCAATGGTTGTTTTAACATTTTTAAGACGGGAACCTTAGATATAATGGTCCAAGGCAACTTCACAACCACTTTTAAAGGTTTTGAAAAGATTACGCTTTTGATCCGTTGAACTGGTCCTTTTTCTAATTTAGAAAGGATATTCCATACCTCAATAACTAGCCGCCTAACGTAACTCGGTTCTCCTGCGAAACAAACCTTCTCACCTTCCTTTGATTCACCATCTTCCTCAATTTCAGTTATATGATGATCATGAGATTGTTCCTCCAACTTTGGCACGATAACACGGTATGCAAAATCAAGTAAATGAGCACAATCTATGAGCTGTATTTTGGGGAATTCTTCCACCATCTTGAATGGAGAGAGATCTTTGCTGAGTCCAAGTAACATGGAAAGTAACCATTGATCTGCCAACTCTAATGATGGGAACTGAAATTCTAACAATTCCCTCAACACGAACAATGGAATTTGGTTCTCGAGCATTAGAATATCTCTAAATATGGCGTTATTTGCTGCCTTATTTGCCGCTAATTCAATCAA